TTTTATGAATGACACAAATTTCTCCTCTTTGGCTGTCTTCACATCTGAATCCTAAATAGATTTTCCAAGGTATACAATTATTCAGACACAGGACAAACCCACTTTGGTCTAATTAAAAGAATAAGAACATCTATGTTGCCCTTGCAGCATGAGAACTTGGGCTTACAGAGCTAGACCTTCCACTTTTCCGGGTTCCTCTTGCAAGCGCTCCCCACTGGCGGGGTCTAGTTCGCAAGTTGCATGTGAAATTAAGCCTATATAAATACTAACAGTACTCAACTGTGTTATTTTGGAATACTAGCAGTTTGGGGATGAAACATCAAGGCACCAGCAATTCCACGTCTAGGCATATACTCAAGAGAACTGAAAACATGTTCACAGAAAAACTTGCCATGAATGTTTACAGCAGCATTATTTGTAAGAGCCAACAGTGCAAACAACTCAAATATCCATCTATTGGTGAATGGATAAACAAAACAAGATATATGCATAAAATGAAAGACCATTTATCCGTAAGAAGGAATGAAATGCTAACACACGGTACCATCTGGATGAGTTCTGAAAATATTATGCTGAGTAAAAAAGCCACACACAAAAGACCACATGTTATATATGAAATGTCCAGAACAGGCCACTGCATAGAGAGAAAAAGTAGATAAACAGGTAGATTAGGTGGGTGAATGGATGAACAGATGATGGATGGATGGGTAGAGCGATAAATGGATAGATAGATGGATGGATAAATGGATGGATGGATGGATGAATAAGTATATAAATGGATGGATGGATGAATAGATGATGGATGGATGGATGATGAAGGATGGAAAGATGGATGATGGATGGATAAATGAATAGATAGGTGGATGATGAATGAATGGATGGATGGATGGATGGATGGATAAGTAAGATGGGACATGATAGGTGAGTCCCAGTGACCACTAGATGCAGCCATGCTGTAAACTTGTCAGGGGAACTGGGAGCTTGTAGAGCCTCTTTTTCTAGACCTGCCATCCAAAGGCAGCCACAGTCCTGACTCCTAAGGTTCCTTGGGCACTTACCATGTGCCAGGCGCCATGCTAAGCACCATGGTCAGCTCACCGCAGGGATGAGAGTGGCAGGCAGACCCGGAGAGGCTGCCGCAACCACTGGCCAGCAAGCCATGGTGCGCTGGGGTGGAGCTGTGCAGTTGGACACCGGAGGCTTGACACCTCCGGACAGATCATCAGAACTGGAGTCAGGGCTTCTCAATGACTCCATGAGCCAAGGCTGAGACTCACTGTCCTGCAAGCTCAGTGCAGCCCTGCTGGTGAGAAACTGGCCTCCTCCTGACAGCTCCTAAACCCTCATGAACTCCCACTCTTCCCTGCGCCTTGTGAATGCTGACCTGCCCCATCCTGCTCCCAGCCCATGTGGCTGGCAGGACTGCAGCTTGGCTCCGAGGCCACACCCTCACCTGGGCCATGCCTGCCTGCCTCTCACAAGTTCTGGTGGTTTCCAGCTCTGCCGAGTGACAATCGTGAGTGACAACGTGCTGGTTCTGTGCTGGTGCGGCTCCAGATGGCCCTGCATCCGCTGATCCCCATTCTCCCAGGAATACACGGTGGAGGATGTGCCTCTGACCCTGGAATCCTCGGCCTCAGCCACTGCACCATCCCCTGAGCCACACCACTTTTTGGAACCTCAGATTGCTTCTCCATGGAATGGGCGCTATTCTGATTGAGTTAAGTCATCTGAGGATGACTGATGCACGGGCCTTCTCACCTCCAGGGTCTGCCCACAGCAGGTGCTCAAGGGGCTGGTTCCCACAGACCCAGGGGGCCCAGGACCAGGAGGCTAGGGCCCTCCTGCACTCTAGCTCCAATAACACATCCCTGCCTCACTCCGACACAAGACAAGGCTTCACTAATCAGGGTGCTGTGGCCTGAGGCCTGGCCATTCTGTCCCTTCAGCTGGAGCCTGGCCCCACCTCGGACTCCCTCCTCACCCTGCCTGCTGCCCCACCTCTCTAATCCGCTCATTTGCCAAGTCCCTGGATATCTCCTGCAGGCATCCTTGCCTGTGCCCACCTCTGCCTACTGGGAAACCCACACGTGGCCCATTCCCTGCTCCTGCTGTGTCCACAGGCATGAAGGGTGAGCTGGGTCCAGACAGGTGAGAGGAGCCCAGAGGGACAGAGCAGCGCCTGCTGCTGGGATGAGGGCCAGGTTTGAGTAAGTCAGAGTTGCCGGGAGTCCAAGGCTGGGAGCCAGGCTACAGGCCAGTGGGGAAGGGCAGGGGCCTGACGGAGTAGGTGGGGGAGCTGGCTGACAGTGTGGCGCCAGGGCAGCCGGCCGCAGTCTGCAGTCCCAGAGCCAGAAGAACAGAGGTTTGGGGAGTAAGAAGGGGTGGTTCCTCTGGGTGCCGAAGTCACTCAGGGAGGCTGCTGAACATAGTGTTGGGGGAAACTGAGGCCAGGGCAGGGCTGTGATGAGGAGGTGAGGGGGAGGCTGAGACCAGAGGGGGCATGGTGGGGAAGGAGAGGAGGGAGGGGCTGGAGCTGCAGCAGGCCCGAGGATGTGCCCCATGCCAAGGGGTGGAGTCCAGGAGTGGAGAGCTGGGTCCTGACCAACAGCAGAGGCTGGCAGTCAAGGCTGGCGCAAGGCGGCCCTCAGGCCCTGGGAGATAGTGGGTGGCCTCAGGGTCCCTCAGGGCCGGCAGGGGTCCCTCAGGGCCGGCAGAGGCCCCTCCTGATGCCCCACTCTCTTTGCCAGATGCTGAGGGAAGTGCCTCAGTTTCCATCTGGAAGCTCCCCTAGCCCAGGGAACCCCCAAATCAGCACACCCTTTTCCATCTCTGCACTCTCCAGGGGGAACACCAGGAGGAGGGGCCCTTTCCAGCCCCCAGGGCTTGATTTCCGCTGAACTGTAGGCTTCAGGCTTTCAAACCCCTTCGCCCAGCACCACAGCCCCAGCACCATCCCTGGCTCAAAGCACAAGCCCAGGCAAGGTAGCGGGTCCCCTGGGGTCCCCACACACCCTGCTTACCCCAGGGCTCGCCTGTAGATGCAGATGGGGTGAGCAGCGCCTCCTGTCCTGGGTGTGCAATGACGTTTCCTCTACTAGACCTGCTCTGTAGAAACGCCCCCGGGCAGACCTCGGATGATGCTCTGCGGCCTCATCATCAGCGTACCCCCAAAACTGGGGCAGATTCCACATTGCTACCACAGTGTGGAGGCCTCTAGAACTTTCTTCTTCTGTGCTTTTTCAGTGAAGGAATAGCTTGTGCACCATTAGCTGCACTCATTGAAACCGTCCAGATCGGTGAGTTGGACAGCTGTCTACAGCATGAGACCACCACAGTCAGGGTTCAGGGCGCTCCCCCACCCTCAAAGACTCCTCCAACCCGCCACAGGCAACCACTGACCTGCCTTTTGTTGCGGGGTTATGCAGTGATGGAACCTTTCTGGAAGCAATGAAGCCATCCTTGCCGGAGCCTCCTATGACCACCTCCCTCCCCTCCAGCCTCCCCGGCCTGCCCCTCCCGGAGCTTCCAAGCCTGCCGCTGCCCCAGGGCCTTGGCACATGCCATTCCTGCTGCCTGGCCAGCTCTTTCTTCAGGCGCTGCCTCCTTGCTTTCCTCAGGTCTGTGCAGTGGCATGGCGTCAGGGAGGCCTCCCCGCCCCTCCTGTGTTAGATGGCGCCGGCCCCTCCCCTGAGCTCTGCCTCGCCTCCGACCCTGGTGTGGTCCAGCGCAGCACACGCTGTGGCCATTGGCCGCTGTCAGGAAACTCCGAGAGGTCAGGGCCTGCGTCTGTGGGGTTTTACTATGGTCTCAGTGTAGCCCCCCAAAATTCAGATATTAAAGCCTCTCCCCCAGTATGCTGGTGTAAGAAGGTGGGGCCTTGGGGAGGTGGGGCCTTTACGAATGGAATTAGTGCCCTTATGAAAGGGACCCCAGAGAGCTCCCTCGCTTGTTCTGCCACACAGGGATACAGCCGGAGGGCGCCATGGATAAAGCAGAAAGCGGACACTGAATCTGGGGCGCCTGGACCACGAACATCCAGCTCCAGACAGTGAGGAACGGGTTTCTGTTGCTTATGAGCCCCCATCCTAGAGCATGTGTGACGGCCACCGGCACAGACCAGCAGGCTTACTGCACTGACATGGAGCGTCTTCGCTGCCTGCCTCTGCCACACGGGCTGCCAGGGCTTGCAGATGGCCAATTCCCTTCTCTCCCCCGTGCCTACCATGCGGGTTAGACAAAACTCCCACAGACAGAGCCTAAGGGAGAGATGGAGCGCCGTGGTGGAGGGGGTGGGGAGGGAAGAGCTCCTTTTTAGTCACATGGCTGATAGCACTTCAGCCAGGCCTGGAGCCCCAGCCTCCTGAGCCCACGCCAAAATCACCTCCCCACAAACATGCTGCTTTCCTGGGTGGGTAGAAGGAGCTCCCTGCTCCCCTACACAGGCAGGGCCAGGCTCTGGGGCTGGCTGCTCAGGCTCAAATCCCAACTTGGTGTGACGTGGGTGACATGCTCCAATGCCTTGGTTTCCCTTTCTGTAACACGGGGCTCATCACAATTCCTACCTCCCAGGGTCTGTGGGGCTCAGGGGTAGCTGTGGGAGAGGTTGGCCAGCATTTGATGAGCTAAAATGGGAAGGGCATGAGACGGGGAGGTGGCAGGAGCCTCAGTCCCCCAGAGCGCTACAGGGGGGCTACAGCCTGGCACACCCATCCCGCTGCCCCTGTCTTGGGGCCTGGCCTGGAGCGGATCACTTCCCACCCCACCCCTTCTCTGTGTCAAGCTGTTCACCCCCACCTTCCTGCCCTGCACCCCCAAAGGAGTGTGCAGATGGATGGGTGCTAGGGCAGATATCCAGATGGACAGACAGCATCAAACACCACAGGTGCAGCAGAGAGCAAGTCTCAGGGCAGTGGGGCTGGCAGGGAGCGAGCGCTTGGTGAAAACCGACATTCACCCCCCAGCACCGCCCAGCAGCGTGCTCTCCAATGCACTCAATTAACCTCTGTCCTCCGTGAGCAGAACATACTCTGCTCAGTGTCACCCAGGATTCCAGATGGCAGAAGCAGCCCACTTCACGTGCAGCTTAAATAGAGCTCTCCCCACCCTCAGAACACACTTGAGCGTAAGTCTATTTCTGCGTGTGTTATGTAACACTCGCCCCTCATTCACGGACAGGGAACACTTCCCTACGAATGGTGTTCACACTGAGGCGGAAGACACCCCCTCCCTGCTGGAGAGAAGGGCTGGAGCTCCAGCTGCAAAGTCTGCAGCCACATGTGGAGGCCTTGGGGTGCTCCTGGGAACACGGGCAGACAGGCAGACGCCACCTCCCCAGCCCCACATCAACTCCTGCTGGGCGAAGCCATGTCCTGCTGCTGGCTGGACCTGATCAGGATGGAGGCAGACAATTCAGGCCCCCACAGAGCAGGCTGGCTGTGACAGCGGGCTGGATGGTGGCCCCTAGGGAGCTGAGCCCACCACCAGGACTACACGAGAGGATCCGGCGAGGAGGGACAGGAAGCACCCTGGCCAGCTCACGTGGGCAGGATCACAGCAGTGTGAGCTCCAAGCTGAGGACTCTGGGCTACTGGGAGGGCCCTGAGCGAGACCCAGGCCTGCAGGGAGCTCGGGGCTTACACCGGGCTGGGCCTACACAGGGCTGGGTCACCTCCACCCAGCACCGAAGGCACATGTGGCCTCCGGGTGACGCCCACTGGAGAAACACAGGAGGCCCCTGATGCCTTTCAGCTTGGCCCATCAGCCACAGGGACCACAAAGTCACATTGTAATAAATCCTATAATTTTGTTCTGAATAGCACAATTAGGCCACTTTGTACTTTTATGAGCTAAAGTTAATTTGTTAACTATAAACATTGCACCCACCATTTCTGAAACACTGTTTTGGATTATTTTTTTAGAGGACTAAAAAAAATTGGATGGGTTGCCTCCAAGAAGCCCAGCCAGACCTCATCCCAAAGAGCTTGCTTTCATCACAAAGGACTGCAGGGCCCCGGGAGGGTGGTGAGGACATAGCAGGGGCCGGACATTGCCCACCACCTCTGCTCCAGCCACCCCCCCCGCTCCAGCCACCCCCCCTCCACAGTGGGACAGGGTGCAACCTGGCAGCTCCACAGTGGAATATCCCTGGAGCTGGTCAGAGAAATCCACGCTCTGCCCAGGCACCAAGTGTGTGACCCAGCGCCACCTGCACCATCCCAGACAGGCCTACTCCACAAGTCACCTGTCGTTTCCCAGGCAGGAGAGGAAGGCATCTACCTTGAGGCCACGTCTTCCTGGCATGAATTCTGCCCAGAGCTCACTCCTCTGCAAGGTTCACTGTCTCCTTTTTAACAAATGCCACGCCTGTGATTTGGAGGGGACTTTCAGGAACCTTTTGTCATCTGGCCGGATGAGAGGCCAAGGGCAAACCCAGGAGACGCCATCCTCCCCAGACAGCCCTGTGGTCTCCCGCCCACTCTGAGGAATACACGGGCTGTGAATGAAAGTTGGCCAAGGCTGTTAGAAATGAAGTTACAGAGAAATCATCACCTCCACAAAGACGTCCTCAGCGGCTCAGAGTCCCCAGACCACCAGAAAGGATTTCCCAGCATGAACCCCTATCAGCATCTGTGTGCAGACACCTCTCAACTGCTGTCTCTGTGTTGGGGACACCCCCTCACCTGCTGTCCCTATGGTGGGGACACCCCCTCACCTGCTGTCTCTGTGGTGGGGACACCCCCTCACCTGCTGTCTGTGGTGGGGACACCCCCTCACCTGCTGTCTCTGT